TCTGTACAAAAGTATGTCACCAGCTGCGACCTTTGTCAATGTCGAAAACGACCAACATCTCTTCCAGCTGGACTCCTTCACCCTATTGAGATCGCTGCTGAACCAATATACCGCCTAGGGCTCGACCTTCTCGGGCCGTTTCCCACTTCTGCATTAGGGAACAAATGGGTTGCCGGGGCGACCGACTACGCAACACGTTACGCAATCCCCCGCGCTCTCCCAACCAGCTGCGCTACCACTGTCGCCGACTTTCTACTGCACGACATAATTCTGCATCACGGTGCTCCTCGACAGCTCGTTACTGACCAAGGCCGATACTTTTTATCTCGCGTCGTCCAGGATATCGTACGTTCCTGTTCCACGAACCACAAGTTCACAACGGCATACCATCCACAAACTAATGGACTTAGAGAGCACCTGAATCGCAATATCACTGACATGTTGTCGATGTATGTTTCTCCAAACTATCGGGACTGGGACGCAACGTTACCCTATGTCACCTTCGCTTACAACTCCTCCAGACATGACACCGCAGGCTATTCCCCTTTCTACCTTCTTTATGGACGTGAACCCTCTCTGCCTCTTGATACACTCTCGTGAGTTCCCCTATCGTGAGTTCCACTTGTGACTACAGGCTGGTCACCGTTCGAGCTCCTGTACGGGTGGGTGCCAAACGGGCCCCTAGCCATTTTCAAAAAGACTTGGCCAGGAGACTGGGAAGTTCCGGAATCACTGGGTACGCCAGCACCGGAATATCTTGTGAAGCTTTGAAGTAGTTTGGAAGAAGCTAGTGTGAAGTCGGTCAGAAAGAGTACGTAGGACGCTATAACTTGAGGGCTACGGGCAAACAGTTCGTCGCAGGCGACCAAGTACGATGGCTTGAGAAGGGAGGAGAGGGAAAGCTAGTGGGAAAATAGAAGGGACCGATCACTGTAGTAAAAAAACTGCGACCGTACAGTTATTTAGTTGAGCTCGATGACAGCTCGTGCAGAACCATTCACACTAACAAGCTTCGCCCCTATCACACGTGACTAAGTGCAGTAGGAGTAATATTCGAGGGCGATCAGGAATTTAGAGATGTTCCGGTCCCACCCTGAGAGCCAGAGGCGCAGGCAACACAGCAGCTTGTTGAAGTAGCACACTTGGAGCCCACACAGAGAAAACAGCTGCGAGACTTCATCGCGAGGCATTCGAGAATATTAGCAAACAAACCCAGCAGCTGAAAAGTGGGAATGCACAAAATAAAAATCAAAGAAGGAGAGCAACCGAGACGAGCATACTGACACGTGCGGTTCTTTTGGTTTACGAAGGAAGACGCTATCACTTTCTGTTAAGCGCAACGCAGGCCGCGTTTATCTTGTATGCCACTCTGGAACGCGTTACGACGCGTGTATAAAAAACTGACCCGTGCGGTTCTTTTCGTTTGCGAAGGAAGACGCTATCACTTTCTGTTAAGTGCAACCACTGGGGGTCCACTGGGACTTTCTGTTAAGCGCAACCACGCGGCCTGCGTTGCGCTTAACAGAAAGTGATAGCGTCCACGATGACGGAAGCAAGGTCTTCGGCAACCGTGGTCGTCAACCAGCCCAAAGAACCGCACGTGTCACTACGCTTACAGGGTGCCAGTGGTACTGATCCACAAAGTAGAGAGGCAGGTGAATGAGCTACAGCAGTGGGGATTGGTATACCCGGTTGAAAGTCAGCACACGTATCCACTGGTCTGCGTATCAAAGAAGAATGGCGGCATCCGCATCTGTTGCAATTACAGGAGACTGAACAGAGACAGATGCATTTCCCATGAGCGTGGCGACTGATCTGTTATACCAGGTAGTGAAGGCCAAGTACATAACTCTGCTAGACATATTCAGAGGTTACTGGCAAATACCTCTCGACGAGGACGCGCAGGTTTGTACTGCTTTTTCCCCTCCCTCAGGCCAGTATGCATGGAAAGTTATGCCCTTTGAATTAAAGAATGCCACCAGCACCTATCAGAGGGTCATCAATGTTGTGCTGGCTCTGCATAGACATTACACTTGCGCTTACATTGACGATGTCGCGATACACTCTGAGAGCTGGGACGAGCAGGTGGAACATTTGGACAAGGTGCTTGCGTCACTGGCAAAAACAGGATAGACGGAAGTGTCATTTTTCACAAGAAGTCAAATTCTTGGGGCACATTATAGGATCAGGCAGGCACAGGGCCGACTCAGAGAAAGTCCGGACGACAAAGGAGATTCCCGCTCCCGAAACAAACGGACAACTTCGTAGTTTCCTAAGCCTAGCCAACTATTATAGGGACTACGTGCTTGAGTACTCCAATGTCGTTATGCCTCTGACCAACCTAACTGGCCGACGTATTCCGCATAAATTACCTTGGAATACAGAGGCGCAAGAAGTTTTTGACAAAGTGAAAAACTGCCTAGTGCAGGTGTTTGCATTGCAAGCCCCAGATCCAAGGAAGGAATTTATCCTCGCCACAGATGCATCTAATTACACCGTTGGTGCGTGCCAGGCACAGCAGGATCTCGAGGGCAAGGAGCGAGCGCCCTATCACTTTTCTGAGCAAGAAGCTTAGCCCAGCTCAGATTTGATAGGCCGCAATGGAAAAAGAAGCTTATGCAATCATTTGGACACTGGGGAAGTTGGACGTTTGACTGTTTGGCACTAAGGTCAAGGTGATTACCGATCATAACCCACTCAAATTTCTGACTATAACCACTCCGCAGAGCCCAAGGCTCACACGCTGGGCGTTGGCATTGCCGAAGTATAACCAGGAAATCGAACAATATTAATAAGGGGTCTCTAAACACTAATGCTGACACAATGTCACGGTTGGTGACTCTCAACAATGATGCATAAAAGGGACAGCAAGGTGAAGGGGCTGTATGCTTTGTCAATGCAGGCGTGACAGAGTCAAAGGGGTACGAGTGGCGATTCGTGCCTCACGTATTGAGCCAGTGAACACGTGTGAATGTATGGTTGTGTTTGTGTTGCAAGTCATAGATACAGTGCAACACATTTGGAAGGGATGTGTTGGGTTTGAACTTGGTGCGTTAGCCGAATATCTTCATATTGTTACCCGCCCCGCTGACGATGAGCCCATGCCATGATGGAAGCGGTAACAATGAATTGGTGGAACGACAGCTGTCTGTCAGTCATAAAGGACGTGTAGACTCACGTCTCCCAAGGGGCTTAGTGGTGGCGCCTTACTGGAGACAAGAGTCAAGTCCGGCTGCAAGAGTGGAAGGTGTACTTGCGCTCCACTGTAGCAACCAAAACTAGTGGCAGCGGCGGCATCGATACACGGGCCAATTATACTTATGGCCTGTCAGCCCAGCGTTGCAGGCACGTACTGGAGAGGTGCGTTCCCACGGCCCACCGACGCCGGACGCCGAGTGTTCCACGAACCAATTTCCACTGAAGGAAATTGTGTGGCGGCAAGAGGTGGTGGTTCTTTAAGGAAGATTCGAGGAGGAAGGACTTCGTGCCTGGCACATTTAACAGCAGCAAACCGGGAGTCAAGGAGAGAGACATTCCTGTGTTCTGATTGGATTGTAAGAGTGTTTGAATGGGTAGTTAGGGAATAAAACCAGGGGTGCATGGACAGGAGGAAAAGAAGAGAAAGGAATAAACGTCTCTATCGAAATGATGTCAGAATGGTCCCTTGGGGGCAGCAGCAAGTGTCGCGCAACCAGCGAGGCAAGTGGAAGACCAAAAGTAGAACTTCATTGCTGATTTATATGATTAAAGTAGAGTAAATTTTAAGACGTAAAATAATTACAGGTTATCACGTGCATTATAGTGAAAGTCAAATCCTGCTACTACTTGAAAGTTGTTTCCACTTCTTTTGAACAACAAAAAAAAAAAAACATGCATTTGCACATGTGTAGCATCAATTATTTGAAACTATTGTGCAGGTTAGTTGGGTCATGACAAATATGCCAATTTTTCTTTTTAATACATGTTATTGTCACGAGGTGAGAGTAGGCAGAGGGTAAATATATATTTACAGATTGTACACGGAGTACACAGTGTCCTTGAACCAAGATAGCGGAGTGGCAACAACAACACGAGCTTTTGTTCAATCAGAACATCTTCGTCGCCTTTATGGTGCATTCGTTGATGTTAATGATGATTTGTATCATATAGCCGCCACCAGTGAGAGCGCCATCTCGGCGCTTAAGAAAGCGTGCGATCCTGCGCAGAGAAGTATGACTTAAGGCGGAAGACATGTACAACATCAGTGGACGACAAAGAAGATGAGGATGGCGTGTCCAAGGGCACGATCGAATAGGTGACCTCGGTCAGTTGGAACAAGACTTTGTAAGGCCCGTTGTAGCGAGCGAGGAACTTCAAGGACAAGCCAACGTGACGGGAGGGAGTCCAGAGCAAGACCAACGATCCTGGGGAGTAAAAGAGAGCTCTGTAACGGCTGTCGTAGCGATCCTTTTGAGATAGCTGCAAAGCAGAAAGGCGATCCCGGGCAATCCGGCAGGCCGCTCGAGCCGGAGTAGTTGCATCGCAAGCGTACTCGGTAGGAGTGTCAGTATGTGACGGCACAAGAGTGTCGAAAGGCAAAGTGGGGTGACGGCCGTACAAAAGATAGAAGGGAGAAAAGCCAGCGGTGTCGTGTTGTGACGAGTTGTAGGCAAACGTCACATAAAGCAAATTGGCATCCCAATCACGATGACCAGCGGACACATACACGGATAGCATTGTCATCAGTGTGAGGTTAAGGCACTCAGCGAGTCCATTTGTTTGCGGGTTGTAGGCAGTGGTGAGTTTATGACGTGTGGAACATGAGCGAAGAATGTCGTCCACGACCTCGGAGAAAAATGAACGACCACGGTAGGTCGGCTGTTGACGCGGCGCTCCATGGTGGAGAATAACGCCATGAAGGAGAAAGTCCGCAGCATCAGTAGCACAGCTTCTTGGTAGCGCTCGTGTGATGGCAAAGTGTGTCACGTAGTCTGTAGCCACCCCTACCCACTTATTCCCACTCAGAGACGCTGGAAATGGTCCAATGAGATCGAGGCCGACGCGGTAGAATGGGTCTGTTGGAATGCCGATAGGATGAAGTGGGCCAGGTGGTGCCCATAAAGGATGCTTGCGGCGCTGGCAGGACTCACAAGATGCAACGTATCAGCCCACAGAGCGGTAAAGGTCGGGCCAGAAGAATCGATGCCGTACGCGGTGATACATGCGGGCTGCTCCGACATGTCCAGCAGTTGGCGCATCCTGAAGTTGTTCGAGCACAGTAGCGTTGCAGGAACTACCAGAAGTTCTGGGCCTTCGGTGTTTGTGTTGCGCTGATAGAGAATTCCATCATGAAGCCTGAACAGGCAAAGGAAAGAATCCGAGGTGTCAAAAGCTAGACAGCGTATCATAAACCGCAAATTGGCATCACTGAGTTGTTCCCCACATATGTCCGTGAAATCAGAAATGGCGAAGACACAGGCATCAGAATCGTGCGCTGACAGGTCAGGGGGATCGACCGGATGGCGAGATAGACAGTCGGCATCCTGGTGCATTCGGCCAGACCTGTAGGTCACGTCAAAGCTATATTCCTGTAGCTTTAAACCCAACAAACCAGGCGTCCAGAAGGATCTTTGAGGGAGGACAACCAGCACAGGGCGTGGTGACCCGTGATGACCGAAAAGTGGCGGCCAAACGATGACCGAAAAGTGGCGGCCAAACAAGTATGGTCGAAATTTTCCAACTGCTCATACAAGAGCGAGGCACTCGTGCTCAGTGATGGAAAACTTGCACTCAAATGGGAAGAGGAGGCGACTTGCATAGACGATTACATGATTTTGACCCTGTTGCCGCTGGGCGAGGACAGCGCCAATACCGTGTCCACTGGCGTCAGTGCGAACTTCAGTGGGCGCAGAAGAATCGAAATGACCTAAGATGGGCGGGGAAGTGAGCAACACAGTAAGTCGGCGAAATGAATTGGCTTGCTGGGGACCCCAAGAAAAGGGCGTGAACTTCTTCAGTAGCTGTGTCAAAAGATGGGCAATGTCGGCGAAGTTGTGGACAAAACGCTGGAAATAGGAACAGAGGCCGACAAAGCTCCGTACGTCTTTTGTGGAACGTGGTGCAGGGAAATCTTTGAGGCGAATTTTGTTGGGATCGGGTTGCACGCCTTTAACACTGACAAGATAGCCGAGCACAGTGATTGTTTTGCGGCCGAAACGGCATTCGGAGGAGTTGAGCTGTAGGCCTACCCTTCTGAAAACTTCGAGAACAGCTGACAGACGGCTAAGGTGACTTTCGAATGACGTCGAGAATACAATGACGTCATCAAGATGACAGAGGCACGTTGATTATTAGTAACCCCGTAGCAGGAAGTCCATCATTTTCTCAAATGTAGCGGGAGCATTGCATAAGCCAAAGAGCATTACCTTAAACTAGAAAAGTCCGTTTAGTGTAACAAATGCAGTCTTTTCACGGTCTTATTCGTCGACGGAAATCTACCAGTATTCTGAACGCAGGTCAATAGAGGAGAAGTAGACAGACTCGTGCAGGCAGTCGAGGGCATCGTCAATCCGTGGCAAAGGGTAGACATCCTTGCGCGTGACCTTGTTTAAGTGATGGTAGTCGACGAAGAAGCACCAGCTGCCATCCTTCTTTTTTTACTACAATGACTGGTGAGGCCCATGGACTGCAAGATGGTTCAATGACGTCTTCTGTGAGCATTTTATCAACTTCACGTTGGATGACTTGTCGCTTTGCATGTGACACCTGATGAGGACGTCGTCGGATTGGGCTGGCGTCTCCATTGTTAATCCTGTGAGTAACAACCGACGTCTAAAGGGCTGTTGCCAAAGTCGAAGATGTTCCTGAAGGATGCCAAGATATGCCGGAGATCGGCTTCCTGTGCTGGAACGAGGTCTGGCGCGATCATCTTGTCAAAGTCGACATCAGTGGAGCTCTGTGAAGAAAATGCAGTAGCAGGCAAAGGAGCGTCTGCAAAGAATGCAGAAACAGAATGTTCACTGATGGAAGAGACGTTGGCTAGAGTCATGCCATCAGGAACAACTTGAGTGCACCAGCTGAAGTTCAGTATCGGTAGCGATGCCACATTATTCGCAGTCGTCAACAGAGTATGAGGAAGGGCAATATTTCTGTGTAATAACACGTCTAAAATCGGTGCCACCACACAATTGCCGTCGGGCACCTGAGGAAAAGACCTCATGGTTACATAGGTAACGGCTTGGGGCGCTAGGTGAACGTACTCAATAGAACACACACATGGTTGACGTGTAGTTGTAGTGTCATAGCAATAAAGTAGGTCAAGCTAAAGCAAGCCTATTCCAGAGTCGACTAAGGCAGAGTGCGCGGCAGGAAAGTCCATGCCCAGGATGAGTTCATGAGAGCACTTCTCGAGCACGGCAAAAAGCACAGTTGTCGAGCGGTCAGCAACACTAACACGTGTGGAGCACAACCCAAGCACAGGAAAAGTTCCACCGTCAGCGACTTGGATGAGTAGCACTGTGGGCGGTGTTAAAACTTTTTTAAGGCGGCGGCGAAGCTCCGAGTTCATCACCTCTTTCACCCCCAGGGAGCGCGTCTGTCTTTTATGTATATATTCGATGTGTTGCGTACAATAAACGTCTTTTTGTATGGTGGTGCTGCCGGTGCTTCTTACGTCTTTCGCAAACACCACAGTGAGGACCTCAGGGTACCGAGAACGGTAGTCGACAACCACCAGGAACTCTTGATTAGTAATATGAAACAAGTCAATGGCCACACTTTTTTATGGAGCTGATGGTGTCTCGGTCCCAATCATGGGCTCACAGCGTTGAACACGTATAGAAGCACATGCTGGACAGTTCTCTACGGCTGCTTTCACCTGGCTGTTGAAACCGGGCCACCAGACAGAGCCTCGAGCCACCGCCAAGCACCGATTGACGCCTTGGGGACCATCGTGCAGCAGGTTCACGATGTCTCTGTGTAGTGCTGCGGGCACAACTAGGCGTCCGCCCATGAACAGCATGTTCTCGCATACAGTGAAGTCGCCCCGGTGGTCCCAGTAACGCGTGATGTTGAGCGGCAGACGATCTCGTCGAGGCCACCCTTTCATGCAGTATGCTTTCAGCATCGAGCACAAGCCGTCTGAAGTTTGCTGAGACCTGAAGTCTTCAAGACGTACGGCCAGGGTTGAAGGAAGGGCTGCCACGACCAGAGACACAAAAATTTCTGCGCTGTCCTCTTCAGACGTGGAAGAGCCTTCGGGATCCCTAGAGAGGGTGTGTGCCGTGGCCAGGTACTTTTCTGGAACATACTTGACTGTGAACTGATATCGCATGAGCCTTATGCGAAATATCTGGATGCGAGGGGGCATGAGGTCCAGATCGGCGGAACCAAGCAACCTGACGAGCGGCTGATGGTCGGTTTCAACGACAAAGCTGAGTCCTCGCAGGAATTCCTCAAACCTCTCGATAGCCCAAGAGACACCAAGCACTTCTTTCTCAATCTGACTGTACCGCTGCTCAGCGGTAGTCAGAGCTCTTGACACGAACGCCTCAATCTGACTGTACCGCTGCTCAGCGGTAGTCAGAGCTCTTGACACGAACGCAACAGCCCGTCGCTCTCCCATCTGTTGCTCCTGCAAGAGAACCGCGCCTAGCCCAAACGAACTGGCATCTGCCGACACAAGGGTGGGTAGCTCTGGATTGTAGCTGGCCATACAAGCATTAGATGCCACCATTCCCTTCAATGTCTCGAAAGAGGTTGCTTGCGCATGGTCCCAGGTCCAGACCGCATTCTTGTTCAACAGGAGCCGTATTGGTGTAGTGACGGCAGACAGGTTCGGTAAAAATCTTCCAATGTGGTTCAGCATGCCCAGGAAACGACGGACGCCATGCGTATCTGTCGGCGGCTTCATGTTCACAATAGCCGATACCTTGTCAGGGTCAGCCGAGATGCCACTGGCGCTTACCACTACACCAAGGAACTTAACAGAAGATACCCCGAAGGAGCATTTCGAGGCATTCAACGTAATGCCCGCTTGTTCCAACTTGCGAAGGACTGCTTGGAGTCTGCTGTCGTGCTCGGAACGGCTCCTGCCGAATACTAGAATGTCATCTACCACGTTCACACACCCTTCCAGGCCCTCTAGAATCCGAGACATTCGGCGCTGAAATACTTCGGGAGCGGACGTGATGCCGAAGGGCAGGCGGCGGTAGCAGTAGCGTCCAAACGGTGTTATGAAGGTAGTCAGCTCCTGACGGCTTTCCGATAGCCTTACTTGATGAAACCCCGATTTCGCATCAAGTTTCGAGAAGACTGCGGCATTGCCAAGACGGCCAAAGTACCTGGTCCACTGTGGGCATAAGGTGTCTCTCCCGAAGAACTACTTGGTTCAACTTCGTGAGGTCAACACAATTTCTGTATTCGCCATCGGCTTTGGGTACCAGCACAATACCAGCACACCACGGGGTTGGCACTGTGACTCGCCGGATGACCCCGTCCCTTTCCATGGCATATAAGTGCTTCTTGACTACGCCTTCGAGGGGAATAAGGATGCGCCTAGGAACGCTGAGAGAAAATGGAATCGCTCCCGGCTTGATACGAATGTGGTATTCTTCAGGCATCTCGCCAAGACCTGAGAACAGCGAAGCTGCGGCTTTGTCTGACGTTGGGGGCCTATTCGGAGCTTCCGCATCTTCCACGGTGTCAACAAACTGGACGACTCCCAGGTCCACTACCGCCGAGTACCCCAGCAGAGGAAAGTCAATGTCCGCTACAACGTACAACGTTTTGCATACCGACCGGCCTCGCCACGACAGGGTAGCAGGAAACGTCCCAAGCAACCTTAGGCGGCAGCGGCCCGGCCCCATCAACTGTTCATGATCGGGTTTGTCAAGGTCTACTGGGCACCCGGCAAAGCTCGGAGGTACCACCGAAACGTCCGCCCCAGTATCCACTTTGAATTGAAGGGGGCGTCCGTTGACATGAACAACAACGTGCCGGCGTTCTGTTTGCGAGGCATCTACGGCGCAGAGCTGGATTTGGCTTAAACGCCTAGTATTATTCGAGCGGCAAATCGCCATGAAGTGTCCCTTCTTGCGACATTGGTTGCATGTGGCCCATCGTGCTGGGCACTCAGATCGCGGATGAGGGGCGTGGCCGCAAAAACCGCATGCCGACTTCGGGCCGGCGCGGTACTCGGGAGGCCGACAGACGTTACTTTTACTTTGGGCAGCTTCGCATGCTGGGGCGTCGGCCATTCGGTACCGGTTGTTCGCAACGGCGTTGACGTTTAGTGCGTCTGGTGCAAGGCCTGTCCCCTGTCCCCAGAATTTCTCATTTTCAGTGTCTTCGTACGTACGCGCTTGGATGAGCGCCTCGTCCAGTGTAAGCTTTGGATTGCGGCCGAGCTGGTCGGTCAAGCGAGAGTCACGCAAACCTACGATAAATCTGTCCCGAACCAGCCGGTCGTCAATTTCCCGAGAGGCGTAGTTGCACTTTTTCACGAGATTTCGGAGCGCCGTGAAAAACGCGTCAACTGACTCGCCTACCGCTTGCGTGCGCTTGTGGAACCTGCTCGACTCGTATACCTCGTTGACGGGGTGTACAAAATATCCCGAAAGACTTGTTGTCACGCTGAAGTACGAGTGATAGGCCTCGGCGTCTGACATGAGAGACGAAAGAACCTCGCGACCTTGGGGACCCATACAGTAGAGGAGCGTGCGTACCTTGGTTTCTTCGGGGGCGGAGGACAGTCCTGAGACGAAGGAGTAATCCTCGAATTGTTGAAGCCACACCGTCCATTGGGCTGGGTTGTCAAAAGTGAACTGCGGCGGAGTTCGCAATGTGAAGCTGGCGGTCACGTAGGAGGCGGCGGCTGGGTTATCCTGCATGTTGCACGGTTGTCGCAGGGCCCCACTTCTGACACCATGTATTGACGTGCCCGGGGAGCGCGGACGCCGCTAGCCGAGCCAAAAGTGGGCGTGAAGGCCGTGAAGAATGACCCGACAACGCGTAGTTCACAAACAGCAAAAAGCCCCGTTTAATGCCCACCGATGCCTTTTATACAGAGTGGGGCCGCCACCTCCCAGTTACTAGAAGCAACAGGTGGTGTCCTCTACGCTTATTACCTTTGTGAAACGAAATATCCCTGTAATTCAACACCCCTCGCTCTCTGATACAGTGCCACACATTATATTGGAAATCCTCTCTTCATCTCGCCGGACATCCACCAGTATGTTCTTGGTCAATGTTTACAGCAGCCCACGACAACCACATCGCTTTCACAAGCTCCTGTCTTATGTTAAGAAGTTGGCAAGAATTTCCCCCCTCCTCCTGGTAGGGGATTTTAACGCTCCCTCACCCGCTTGGGGCTACATTCACGACACCAGAAAAGGGCGAATGCTGTGGCAAGACACCCACAATCTTGGCTACACCCTTATCACAGACCCAGCACACCCTACGCGGTTGGGCAACAGCGTTGCCAGAGACACCACTCCTGACCTCACTTTCACTACGAACATTACGCATGCAGAGTGGTCCAACCTTCATGAACATCTAGGCAGCGACCGCTACATAAGACAAACGATTGTCAAGATTGGCCCGCAGCGCAGGAAATTCAAATAGCCTGCCCTTGTTGACTGGGATGTCTTCCGCTAATTGCGGGCAACGGCCTCTCCAGAATCTGCCACCTCGATCAACCAATGGACAGCTTCCTTACTACGAGACGTTAAGCGTGCTACCAAGACTCCCTCAGAAGACGCCGTAGGCGACACGGTAGGCACCAAGCTGCTGCACATGTGGGAGGCCCTCGCTGGTCTGCGCAAGCGCTATAACTCCAACAAATTGAAGCGCTCGTTACGCAAACGCAATGCTATATTAATGCGTCAAATTGAAGATTACACTCTTTAACTCTCCCGCCAGAACTGGCATCAGCTTTGTAAGGTTATGGAACGCTTACCTAACGTGCCCAAAACGTGGAATATTCTTCGTCGTATGATAGAACCAACATCGACAAAAACTGCTTTTTTTTCGTATTTACTGCCTTTAGTCTACCGCTACGTGCCCTCGGGGCTCATAGATCGCTATCACGCCGCCGCCACCGCAATGTTGGGCGCGGCGGTTGTGGCAAATGGTAGTTCCTTTTCAATCCCCATGTGCTTTACTGCGCACACACCTTTGAAACAAAGTCGTTTTATGCCGTATATGATCGTATCTGCCGCGGTTTTGTCCGCAGGGTTTGTGAAAATCAGCGTTGCTTTGACTGGTTGAGTGTTGGACGCACGCACATTTTTGAGGCTACGTCGTCGCCATACATGATCGTGTCAAAAGCGACCACGGTTTCGTCCACAGCAGTTGTGGCAACGACAATCACGCACACTGTAGAAGACAGTGCGTGCGCCGGTCGCACGCGTACTTTCGAAGCTTCGAGTACGCTGCTCTCGGCCTTCGTTCGACGATTTCCGTACTAAATTTCGTATCACCTGCCGCGATTAGGAAATGTGTTGGGAACATTCGAATTTAGACCCAATAGACATAATGAAATTTCGCTGAGAAATTTTACGAATTAAGTATCTGCCGCTGTTTAGCATCACTGAGATTCTACTGTACGTTTAGATGAACCCCTCTTACACTCATTCATAATAAAATGGGGTAAGTTCGAAAAGCCTGGAGCAGATTGAGCTGCTTTTTTGTCAAGGCCGCCGGATCACGCACAAAAATTTCGATGTCCGGGAGATTTTCATGACAACCGTACAAACGGAAGAAACAGCCCAAATCCGGGAGTCTCCCAGCCAATCCGGGAAACTTGGCAGGTATGCTACTAATATATTTAAAATAGCGGAGGAGTTTTACAGAGACCGGTACAGCAGCCGGGACAACCCTGACCTTGATACTATAGAACTAGCAGTAACCCAGATGACACCTCCGTAATAATAGACGAAGTCAGAAAAGCCTTGGAGAGCATGCAAAGAGGTAAAGCTGCTGGTGAGGACCAGGTAACATCAAATCTGCTGAAAGATGGAGGACAGATTGCGTTAGAAAAACTAGCCACCCTGTTTACGAGGTGTCTCCTGACGGGAAGAGTACCAGAGTCTTGAAAGAACGTTAACATCATCTTAATACATAAAAAAGGAGATGACAAAGACTTGAAGAATTACAGGCCGATCAGCTTGCTCTCCATTATACAAGCTATTCACAAATGATATGTGGGGTTTAACGTCCCAAAACCACCATATGATTATGAGAGACGCCGTAGTGGAGGGCTCCGGAAATTTCGACCACCTGGGGTTCTTTAACGTGCACCCAAATCTGAGCACACGGGCCTACAACAAAGCTATTTACAAAGGTAATTGCTAACAGAGTAAAGAAAACATTAGAATTCAATCAACCAAAGGAACAAGCAGGTTTCCGAACAGGCTACTGAACAATCGGCCACATTCATACTATCAATCAGGTAATAGAAAAATGTTCAGAATATAGCCAACCACTATACATAGCCTTCATAGATTACGAAAAGGCGTTTGATTCAGTACAAATATCAGTAGTCATGCAGACACCGCGGAATCAGGGCATCCATGAAGTATATATAAACATCCTGGAAGAAATCTACAGGAGATAACTGCTACCATATTGCTTCATAAAGAAAGCAACAGAATACCAATCAAGAAAAGTGTAAGGCAGGGGGATAAAATCTCCCCAATGCTATTTACCATGTGCTTACAGGAGGTTTTCAGAGGCCTAAAATGGGAACAGTCAGGGATAAGAGTTAATGAAGAGTACCTTAGTAACTTGCGCTTCGCCGATGACATTGGACCGGCGTGAGGCGGGCAGACAGGCCTCCACTCCACAAGCCTGCATTGCCGCCGTTCTCGCCGCCAGATGTGCCCCCCCCCCCTCTCCCCCCAAAATACTTTTGGGCATTGGCAGTGCCACGCTTTTAAGTAGCATCACATATGTGGGCAGAATGGGAACAGTTAGGGATAAGAGTTAATGGAGAGTACCTTAGTAATTTGCGCTTTGCTGATGACATTTCATTGCTGAGTAACTTGAGGAACGAATTGCAACTCATGATTACGAAGTTAGACAAGGAAAGCAGAAAGGTGGGTCTTAAAATTAATCTGCAGAAAACGAAAGCAATGTACAACAACCTTGGAAGAGAGCAGCGCTTCGAGATAGGTAACAGCACACTTCAAGTTGCTAAGATGTCTACTTAGGGCAGGTAATAACCACAGAGCCAAACCACGAGATTGAAGTAACTAGAAGAATAAGAATGGGGTGGCGCACATCTGGGAAGCACTCTCAAATCATGACAGGTAGATTACCACTATCCCTCAAGAGGAAGGTATATAACAGCTGCATCTTGCTGGTACTTAGCTATGGCGCAGAAACCTTGAGACTTACAAAGAGGGTTCAGCTTAAATTCAGGACGATGCAGCGAGCAATGGAAAGAAAAATGGTAGGTGTAACCTTAAGGGACAAGAAGAGAGCAGAGTGGATTAGGGAAGAAATGGGGGTTAAGAATATCATAGTTGAAATCAAGAAGAGGAAATGGACATGGGCCGGGCATGTAGCGCGTAGACAGGATAACCCCTGGTCATTAAGGGTAACTAACTGGATTCCCAGAGAAGGCAAGAGGGTTAGGGGGGGACAGAAGGTTAGGTGGGCAGATGAGATTAAGAAGTTTGCGGGTATAAATTGGCAGCAGCAAGCACAGGACCGAGTTGACTGGCGAAACATGGGAGAGGCCTTTGTCCTGCAGTGGACATAGGCTGATGATGATGATTGTCTGCACCGTTCTCCATGAGTGTACCCACAAACTCATTTTGGGTTGCGTCTCCTTGTCTGTCGCGTCCGCTTCTATTGGCAGTGCCTCATACATCTCCGTGTCACTGACTCTTCTTTGCCTTAACACGAAAGGCGCAATCGCCTCGTCACCACTTCAGACACCACCTCGACCACCTAAAGAAGAAAGCATAAGCGTTAGTTCCAGCAGTATTGTGGATGGTGACGTACTCATGTTACCTTGCGGTCATACCCTACATCGTGGCATTCTGATTATCCCAGGCCTTATTCATTTCTCTGGTGGTCTGCCTTCTTGACTGCACTTAACCGAACCCCTGAACCCTTACTGCTGCTGTGTGGGTCAACGATCACTTGCGCGGTTGAAATGATCTTGTGGCCGTCGTTGCCTTTTCAAATCAACTACCAAAGCCAACCTCACCACCACTCAACCCACCATTGGTGTCTACCATAAGCCCTGATCTAACAGAAGCCCAGAGACAAGATTCGCTCGCCTTACTGAATCGACACCGTTCTTGGTTCGACGTTGATTCGTCTGCAACTTGGCCCATCGCAACTTGGCCTATCCTTGGTATGACCACTGCCGCTCTTCACCGCATTCACGCTAACGGCTCTCGTATGACCCACTGGCACCCATATCGCATGTCTTTGTCCGAGTGTAAGATCATTGAAGGAAACCTCTCCGACATGCTGCGACGAAACATAATTTGACCATCCAGAAGACCCTGGTCCTCTCTAGTTGTTATAGTGCAAACGAAAGATTGCACAGTACATTTTTGTGTCGATTACTGTGCACTCAACAAGATAATGCGCAAAGATATTTACCCTTTGCCACGGATCGATAACGCACCGGATTCGTTACATGACGTAGGGTATTTTTCTAGCCTGAATCTGCGATCTGGATACTGGCAAATAACGATGTCCGCATCATACAAAAAGACGATCGCTTTTTCCACCCAAGATGGGATGTACGAATTTAATGTAATGCCTTTCAGGCTTTGTAATGCACCCGCTACCTTCGAACGCATGATAGACAGCATACAGTGGTCTTAAGTAGAAATCATGCTTATGCTGTCTCGACAATATAGTAGTGTTTTCCACCATGTTCTCGCAACATCTGTAGTGTCTGCCTTGCAAAAACTGGTCTACGGCTAAATACAGAAACAGTAACTTGGCCAGCAAGACGATCGAAGTTCTGGGGCACTTAGTCAGCAAAGAAGGAATTAGACTGAACCCTAAGAAGCTTGCCGTCGTGCTCAACTTCTCTCGTCCACTGCGTCAGAAAGACTGCGTAGTTTTCTCGGCTTAGCATCTTATTTCCGGCGCTTCATACGTGACTTTCCCACGCTTGCGTCTCCGCTACATCAACTGCGCCCAAGTAACACATCTTTCGTCTGGGGCGAAGCCTTTGATAGGGCTTTCGTGGCATTAAAGAAAGTCCTAATATCTGACTTGGTACTGTGCCGCTTTGAACCAAGTGCATGCACCACTTTTCACATCGACGCGAGCAGCCATGTGCTTGGTGCCATTCTTCTGCAACATGATCCCACCGCCCGCGACGAGCTATTGCCTACGCCAGTCGTACGCTGTCTGCTCCAGAAAAGAACTACACGATAACAGAGTAGGAGTACTTTGCCGTTGTTTGGGCCAAACAAAAATATCGCCCGTACCTTCATAACCGCCACTTTACAGTCGTCACTGACCATAACGCACTGTGCTGGCTTTCCTCGCTAAAGAACTTATCAGGTCCCCTTCTTCGCTCGGTGCTTCGCTTGCAGGAGTATGATTTCGATATCGCCTACCGGTCCGGAAAGAAACATCAAGACGCTGATGCTCTCTCTCGTTGCCCACTGCCCAGCCATAATAATTCACAATTGCAACATCTCCTCAAAACTGCTTTACCCATCTCAGTGGTCAGTTGTCTAAGACTGGGCAACGCATCAGCCCATGTCTCGCATCAACGCCTCAAACCTTACTGCCGCTCTATTATAGCACGCTTGGAAGGCACTTCCGCTCCTCTGAATGCCCGATTTCATCGACAATGTGACCAATTCAAGGTACACAATGGTGCCCTACATCGCTACGTTTATCACGCCGACCGAAACAAATGGGTCCCACTTATACCCAGATCACTGCAATGTGATGTTCTTCAAACATTTCACGATAATTCTACCGCCGATCATCTTGGCTGCCACAAAACATACGAAGTCACTGCACCTGGCATGGCCTCTTTTCAGCCGTTTCCAAGTATGCTGCCTCATGTGCCCGCTGTCAGAGCCGCAAGCGACCTACCACAGCTCCTTCTGGCCTCATACAGCCTCTTCCTTGTCCCGCTTTGCCTTACGAAGTCGTCGGGATGGACATGTACAGCCCTCTTCCCATAACCTCCAATGGGAATCATTGAATTGTGATGGCTGTTGACCCTGTGACCCACTACGCGGAAACGGCCTCGCTACAAGCTGGCACTGCCGCAGCTATCACTGATTTTTTTCTGTGCAACATATATTTGCCCCACGGAGCTCCAGGAGTACAGCTCAGTGACCGCGGCTAAAGTCTTCCTTTCTTCTGTTGTTGCCGAGGTTTTAGCAGCCACTAGTACGTACTATCGTCAAACGGCTTGACAAAACGCTTTCACCGCACACTCTCTGACATAACTGCAATGTACATCAACCCCGACCACACGAACTGGGATGCAATTCTGCTGTACATGACATTTGCCCATAATGCAGCTACAACGCACCACCGGCTTCTCGCCCTTTTTCCTTGCATATGGCCGCTCACCGAGTTTCGCTCTGGACGTCTCGTTTCTTTTGGCTCCGGCAATCTCAGCCTTTATGAGAACCATTTCTGTCTCTCCTTGCACACTGCTGTTACCTTGCCCGAATCAACACCAGCATCTCTAAATAAGCTCGAAAGTCGCACTACGACTTGACTGATGGTGCCGTAACTTTTTCTTTTAGAGAAAAAGTTTTTCTTTGGACTCCAGAACATTTTCCTGGCTTATGTGATAAGTTCATGAGTCGCTTTATTGACCCCTACACGGTCATAAAGCAATCGTCCCCCGTTCATTACCGTGTTTCACTCCTGAGGCCTTCTTTCAATCACCTTTGCGTGAGACAGAAATCGTGCATGTTTCTCGGTTAAAGCCCAATATACACAATGATATTCTTAATGCTACCACGTGGTCAGGTGGCCCCTTCTACGGCGAGAGGGAATTAGTGTGAGCACAGTTGTTGACTTTCCTTTGTCATTTAGACATAGCGAGTCTGAGCTCATCCCAAAAAGCAGTGCCTCACAATATACAGTTGTGTCTCTTGTCTTCTCAAGTACGTTTGGCTCACTGGAAAAACTTTTTTTCAGGTGTGTGTGTGTGTGTGTGTGTGTGTGTGTGTGTTTGTGTGTGTGTGTGTGTGTGTGTGTGTGTGTGCACGCGCGCGTGTGTGTGTTTATACACTTTGCACACTATGAATGTGCTGTGCTTCAAGTAGCAAGTTTCAGACTGAGCTGTCATTTGTTGGTCGTTCTCAAACGTGACTTCTTGTGATGAGGGAGTACGTTAGCGTTACGTCACATTTTAAGGAAATATAGTCGCTTGATTTTATGGAATCACCTTTCGTGGATCTGATGTCTGCAAAAAAAAAAAAAAAACCTTCCTGTCCAGGCGTGAACAGTGGTAGTTGAGCGCTGCTCCCTAGGTGTTCGGTCTTTTCTGCGCAGGTAAAAGGTTCCTAAAATTTCTAGCATTCATTTTCACAGTGCCGTTTAAGAGCAAGTATAAACAAAAATCAGTTTGGAGCAGGGTTTCCACCCTTAAGTAAGCTTAACTGTCATGCAACTGCGATGGTGTGCGGAGCCTAGTGAAGGCGATTGCCGTTTACATGCTGTAAGATGCAATCCACTGCTGTGGAGAAAACAAAAATGGACCTGGCACTGAACGTGAGAGAATGCGCAGCAGGGCTTACCATGAGCTCAATCGGAATCGATGTTCTGCGGCCCGCTGGCCGTGTTCACCGCCGTGGCGAGGTCGCCGCTGCTCAGGCGTTCGCGGATCAGCTCGGCTATTGCCCTGCGGGTGCGCCTCTCCAGTTTCTCCAGCTTTTTGGACACGTCGCGCTTCAGGTCCCAGTCGGGCTTCCTCGGTGCGAGCGACGCGAGGTCGACCTCCTTGGCGTGTTGTTCAGGATCACCGACTGCGATTTTCTCCTTGATCTCTTGCTCGATGGCAGCGGGAGAGATGTCCGGTATCACGGACTCCTTCAGCACCTCGTCTTCGGGTCTGTACGATCGAAACACGGGCTTTGGCAAAGTTCCCTGCACCTCCGGTTTGTCCTGGCCGTCGTTGGCACTTGTTTTTTTCTCACGCAAAGCGCGGAGACGTTCCTTCCGCTTCAGAGCTTGCTCCTCTAGCGAACCAACTTGATTGTTGGTAGCCATAACGAGAACTGCGGAAAATGCGCAAACAACGTGCCCACCGCCATTTTAAAACGATGTGCAGTGTTGCCAAGTCCATAGAGGCAGTGAAGCCAAAAGCGAGAACCATAAAGTTTCATATATTATCATATGCTACTTGACGTGGAGAACCAAAGATGAGAACAAGAAATTTTCTGAATATTGCTTGAAATATAAGTAAATGATAAGGTCTGGTGCGCGACCAATAGCGGCGCTTCAATAAAGCTTTTGGTTCGTTTTTTCTAAACAAACATTATTTTTTTTTCTGAAAATATGCGACATTTATTGCCTGGAGCTTGTGTGAAAATAAACATGTTGAGTGCGCTTTCGAAACAGAAATCGTACAAATTGGATTGCTTAAATGGATGGATGTTTAGGGCTATATCCTTTAGATTGCGCGGTGGCCAGCGCCACTAAACCGTAATGCTCGTAAGAACAGGAAAGCTCGGAAAGTCTCGGAAAAACTGAGACATATCGTATAGCTATAACATAGACAAAGCACATGCATGTCAAAATACACTGGATAAGGTGAATGACAAGAAACATTTCATTCAGAAAAGAGGCGAATACTTAATGAAACAAAAACTAGACTTATTTATTTTTCCTTAAATAGTGAGGTTGAGGATTCGTACTTTGCAGTGAAGGGTTTATTCTTCGCTCGTGCCTTGACTTTAGCCACTATTCAAATAACCTCCTTCTAGTTGATTCTACCCGCTTAAAGTCTATTTTGCCCTCACTGTCCCTAAACCCGAGTGCTTTGAAAAATTAACTCTGTGCAATCACCCTGAACTATAGGGTGAAGCCCTTTACAGAACATTATCAAGTGTTCGGCAGTTTCTTCCTCCTCTCGACACGCACTGCATACCTTGTCAACCCCTTCGTATTTGGCCCGATATGTCTTGTTTCGCAATACTCCCGTCCAGGCCTCAAACAGTCCTTTCCCTGGCAATTTCCTGCTTAAAAGTTCGATAGATCTCTAGTGCGGACTTCTTAATCATGCCAATTCTCCACATGTCAGTCTCCGTTTCCTTCACTTTCTTCTTAACCGATAGTTCTTTTTGATTTGGCCACCTGCTGTTTTCTAAGTATTTACCAGTGAATTTTTTGGTTCGCTTCCTCCATTTTGTATCGACATTCTTCATGTACAAGTAGCTGAAAACCTTCCTAGCCCAACGCTCCTCCCCCATTTCTCTCAATCGCTTCTAGAATTTTATCTTGCTGCTAGCTTCTCTGCCCTCAAATAATGTCCATCCCATATCACCTTGTACTCCCTGATTTGGTGTACTCCCGTGAGCTCCTAAGGCAAGCCTACCTATTCCACGTTGCTTAATTTCTATTCTTGCTTGAACTTCTGATCTCATGCACAAGACCGCATTGCCGAACGTCAGACCAGGAACCATGACCCCTTTCCATATTCCTCTCACAACATCATACCTATTGTAATTCCACAGTGCCCTGTTTTTCATTACCACTGCATTCCTGTTACCTTTAGTCGAGACGTATATTTCGTGTTCACTTAGGTACTTGGCCCCATTGCTTATCCATACGCCCAGATATTTGTATTTATCTGTTATCTCTAGCGCGACCTCCTGTATTGTAACCTCACTACCTTCATTGTCATTAAAAATCATTACTGCTGATTTTTCCCTACTGAATCTGAAATCTAAGCTATCTCCCTCATTACTGCAGATGTCCACCAATCTCTGCAAATCTTCCTTGTTGTCAGCCATTAGCATTTATCATCTGCGTACATCAATGCTGTTAGTGCCTGTTCAATGAGTGTACCTTGTTTGACGAAAGAGAGGTTGAAGCCCAGTCCAGTTCCCACTAATTTGGCCTCTAATCCTTGTAGGTACATCATGAATAACAAGGGTGACACAGGACACCCCTACCTAAGCCCCCATTTCATCTTTGTGGGCTTAGATACCCGTTTTTCCCACTTTATAACTACCTTGTTACTTTTATAGATCTCCTTTAAAAAATTAATGACTATATCTTCCACGCCTAAAGTGTCCAGTATTCCCCACAATTCCTCTTGAACCACGCTATCGTACGCTTCCTTGATATCCAAAAATGCTAGCCACAGGGGTCTGTGTTCCATTTTGCCATTTCGATGACTGCGTCAGTGAGAAGAGATTGTCTTCCAACCTCCTGTCTTTCCGAATCCCATTCTGCAGTTTCCCCAGCACCCCCTCTTCCTCTATCCATGCCTGCAGTCTTTCCTTTATAATCTACATCGCCAGCCTGTAGACCACTGATGTCACTGTTATAGGACGGTAGTTGTTTATGTCAGCTTTGTCCCCCTTTCCTTTATAGATCATGCTCATCCTGCTAAGTTTCCATCCATCAGGAACTTCTCCATCGATTATTATTTTGCTCACTGCCTCTTTCAAAGTCTGCTTAGACTTCGGACTCAATGTCTTTATCAGCATAATTGGAATGCCATCTGGGCCTGTTGATGTACTACTTGGAACCCTCTTCTCAGCCCTTTCCCACTGTTCTTGTGAAAATTGAGGCATTGCGCCACTTGATTCATCCTTGTCTATTGTGGTGCATAAAGCACTTCTGTGTTGAAATTTTTCTGTGATCCTTGTTCTTATATATTCAATAGCTTCGCCCCTTCTAGCCTAGCACCTTGAGTTGTAGTTATAAACCTCTGCTTTAGGCTCGTCTCATTTCTTAGGGAGTTTTGATGATTCCGAAATTTCACAGCTGCCTTTATATTTTTTTTATGTATTTCTGCCAGACACTGGGCTTCCTTTCTTCTAATCTTTTCATTGATCAGAAGGGATGCATCCCTTCTACAGTTTAGAAAGATTTCCCATTTTCTTTTAACATCATCTGTCAGTTCACTCCGCTGCTTAGCATGTCAATTTTCCCTAGAGGCTTCCTGACGTTTTGCTATGGCTCTCTTAACTTCCTCATCCCAACAACTTTTGTGTTTGTGTCTCCTTTTGCGGGGTGACTTGTCACGTGCCTTAGCAGGCTCTAGCTCAAACAGTCTAATTAGATTCCTGTATGTCCCCACTGTTTTATTATCCTCAGTGATTACTTTCTCAATTTGTTTAGTGGCTATTTCAATTTGCCTTTCTAAATAAAAATTTTCCTGTAGTTGCTTATCTTTTCTTCTTCCCACTTTCACTGCTCTTCCAAAACTTAGCTTGATACGTTTGTGATCACTACCCATACTTCTGGAGCCACCTTCATCTATGTGCATTCCCCTGAGCTTATCATGCATCCTATGTCACATCAGTGTGTAATCTATCGTCGACTGCAGCCTTCCTACCTCCCATGTTATTTGCCCTTCACACTTCTCGGTACTGTTGCAAATGATCAAATCCAGCCTTTCACACATATCCATGATCATTTTGCTTGTCGGGTCGGTATAACCATCTATATCTTCTATGTGTGCATTCATATCTCCTAGTATAATTATCTCGCACTCTCCTCCTAACTCCTGAATGTCCTTTGATATACATTCTACAATTGCCTGGTTTTCCTCTTTGGCCTTTGCTCCCGTCCACAAGTACACGAAACCAAAGAGTGTCATTTGCCCTGCCACTTTCCCTTTTAGCCATGAATGTTCCTTGCCCTCCTAGATGACCTTTTGCCAGTCTGTACTTTTATGTATGAATGCCCCAATACCACCCCCCTTTCTGCTGCCTTCTGTTCTATTACAATATTCCCACGTGTAGTACGCATTGGCGGTATGAATATCGCATTATTTCCACTACTCGCATATGTAGTCCAAGTAGCATAGAGAAAAAAAAAGCTTTGACTGCGATATCCCCTGTCGGTGATCACACCTGAATGCTTATACCAAGTTGAACAGTTCAGTTCTGTACACTTTTGTGGCCTCTACTTCTTTGGCTGCTGCTTACATGACAATGCAAGAAAAAAGCAGTCTACTAAATACATCAAAATAACGCAGAAACGGTGCATTATGCTTAGGCAAGTCTCTAGAAAATATAAAACGTCTGCAAAGAAGCCCATGTACATGTTCGGTCTTGCAAACAAGCTTAATGCTCACGCTTTTGGCAAATTTTGTTGTTAGGGTTCTGCTGACATGAGCAGCAGAGGGCCACCGCATTATACATATATTGTATAATTGGTGTGTCAAGTAGTCACCTGTAAATTGCGATCTGCATAAAAAGTGAGTGCTTTGCCTTCAGCGCAACTTTGGCATGCTCACTTTTTGCTTAACACCTAAATCTAAACCTCGTCGTACATTGAAAGTGTCATCATCATCAGCCTGACTACGCTGACTGCAGGGCAAAGGGATCTCCCATGATCTGCCAATCTACCCGGTCTTGTGCTTTTCATTGCCATGTTATACCTGCAAACCTTTTAATCTCATGGATCCATCTAACTTCCTGTCTCCCCTTCGTGCGTTTGCCTTTTCTGGGAATCCAGTCAGTTACCCTTAAAGACCAGCGGTTATCCTGCCTACGTGCAATGTGCCGGCCCATGTCCATTTCTTATTCTTGATTACAACTATGATATCCTGAACCCTGGTTTGTTCGATGACCCACTCTGCTCTCTTCTTGTCTTTTAAAGTTACAGCTATCATTTTCCTTTCCTTCGCTCAATGGGTCATTCTCAATTTAAGCTCGACCCTCTTCGTAAGCCTCCAGGTTTCTGCTCAGTAGATAAATACTGGCAAGATGCAATTGTTATATAGCTTCCTCTTGAGGGTTAGTGGCAGATTACCATTAATGATTAGAGAATGCTTGCTGAATGTGACCAACTCCATCTTCATTCTTCTAGTTACTTCACTCTCATGGTTTGGCTTCGCGGCTCCTACCTGTCCTGAGTAGACATATTCCTTCACTACTTTCAGCGTCTCTCCACCTATCGCAAAGTGCTGTTTTCTGCCGAGACTGTAGCACATTACTTTAGTTTTGTGGACATTCACTTTCAGACCTACTTTTCTGCTTTCCATGTTCAGTTCGGTAATCGTGAGCTGTAATTCATATCCAATGTTACTCATCGAGGCAATGTCATCAGTTTTTTAAGATACTTTCCATTAACTCCTATTCCTAACTCTTCCTAAGCTAGGGTCCTTAAAACCTCCTGTAAACACGAGATGAATAGCACTGGAGAGATTGTATCTCTCTGCCTTACACCCTTCTTTATTGGAATTCTGCCGCTTTCTTCGTGGTTACTGTGCATCCACTGTAGATTTCTTTCAGTATGTTTATGTAGCGTTCTTCAATGCCCTGATTCAGTAGTGCCTGTATTACTGCTAATGTCTTGACTGAGTCAAATACCTTCTCGTACTCTATGAAGGCCATGTATAGGTGTTGATTGTATGTGAAGGTGTTGTTTGATATGTTTATGGCACACGATAACGTTAACATTATGGTAGATTCCACAGTGCAGTTAAGTGCAGCGTATTTCGGTCGGTGCATCTTCTTTTCATGATCTAGCAGGGATTTATTTTGGGCAAAAAATATCCGTTATGGTCTTGTTGCTTTTTCCCACTTCATAATGCAAATTATTTAATAAAAGATCACATATCATACAATAATAAAAGGACCAGGGCAGTGGAGGGCCTTGACACTTTGATCATGCACTACCATATTGCAATTTTCAACTGCAACTCAAAGACCACTGCTTGGCATACTTAATTCACAATAAACTCTTTTGTTGCAACATTTGTCTGTGTAAACTTTTGGTTGTGAAAACATGCTCAGACGATCGACAACAGCTGGTCTATTAGTTTTTAAAAAGCACTCAAACGGTACTACATGCCTACTGACTATAGCACAGCGTTATAACATTTGTCTAAAATATGTAGTCAATGGGTACGAAACAACAGCTGCAGCACTTCAAGCAAGTTATTTGCAGTTAAATAAAAGCTGGGAGCACTTGATCACAGCTCTATTGGGAGTCTGTCACCATGTACAGATCTTTTGTACTTGCATAAGTTTCTGTGCTTTCAGGCTCATGCACAGCAGAGCAGAAGGAGCCTACGTTGCTCTCCATTAAAAGCATAATTAAAAAATTCGATTTACCTCGTGCAGCCATACATTTCAATTAGGAAGTTTGTCTGGTTAGAGTTAGTTGAGAAGGTAAAAGTACTTACGATCTTTAGATGCTATAACACCCCTTGAGGAGGCTTTGGTTCTCAAAAAGAAAATGCTTTCTTAGCAGAAAAACCAAGGCAAGGCTCCTCTTGATTGTGATTTAAAAAGCCTTTGCTAGTCTTTGGCAATGCAGTTTTAACGCCCTTCGCTAACACCAAGGAAAGTCAACTGTTTTTCTAGGTCTTAAGCTCTTTTGCTGGCCTCCAAACAATTTCTTACTAAGCTCTATTTTTACTCTTTATATAGCTTCTTTCCTATCCTTTTATAACAAACTGCTAATACCTGAACATTAAATGTCTAGAAATTCAAATACTTCTGAAGTCAACATTGTCACAAATTATTCGGGTTTTCTTTAGCGTGTCAGGATTGCGTCATAACATATTGAACTTCACTGTAATGAATAGAGTATTTTTGCTCTGATTTAACAGGTGCTGTTTCAATTGCTATGTATTTGCACAGATAGTCAAACACATCACAAACGATCTAATAACAAATGCCTCAACTTAGTAAACAGAAAACTTGTATAATTCAAATGTGATGTTTTATCGTATCTCATGAAGAGGGTAACATCATTCAGTAAAAGCATTGCTGGTGATGTCCATATTCTTAGAACTAATTGAATTTAAGTAATTAGTATTGAGGTTTCACTTTGTTGCATGTATATGTAGTAGCACCATATTTATCCTCTTCTTTATGCCTCTGCATTTCATTATAGACATTTGAACAAACCGGAAGTGTCGTATTATTATTGCCTGTCTATGTCACATTTCACGCTGACTTAGCATAGCATTTGATGCTAGATGCCAAAAAAGAGATTAATATCTCACATCTCCATTCACCACAAAGAGGTTTCTTTTTAAGCTATTGTTCAAGGCAGTGACCTTATTCAGCATTCTGCTGTAGAGCATATGAGCAATACTGTTTGTTTGTACAGGACGCTATACCATCGGTCGCATATACATGCTTTTTTTTGTCTACACATGTAGCTTTAAAAATCATCAGTGTAAATGCGGCTGTCTTTATTTAACTATGAAATAGTGCATTAAAAGAAAGAAAGTGTATCTATAATCTGATTCTAAGGTAAAGGGAAATGGTACCGTACAGTCAGGGGTGGATCTAGCCAATCATTTTAGGTGGAGGGGGTTGCTTAATTTAACACCGGAGAGAGGGGCATGGTCATTACTTTTTGTTTTTTTTATAGCTTAAAACTCTATCATAGCATAAATACTATTAATGTGTGCTTAAATGAATCCCAGTCATTTATCCTAACTGGTGATAACAGGTGGATGGCAAGCACTGAAGAGAGGGGCAGGGGATACTGACAGGCTTTGGGGTGGGGGCGATCGCCTCTAGCGCACTTTTTCTGGATCCGCCACTGCGTGCAGTTCTGCACAAGATCACAGGATTGATTCCGAACCTCAGTGAAATCCTGCTCCCAGTTTTTTTCATGTGAATGTGTGGTTCATCATAGAATTTATGGCATTATTTAGCAGTGTGATTTTTCAAGGCCTTCCTTATTGCCATGACCTTTTTTTCACATTTGTTCAAACCAGAAGACAAGTTCACCAGGGAACATTTACTGCATGGGAGGATGTTTGAAAGAGTTGGTTACGTGTTAAAGTTGGCCCATACACACACCTTTTGCAAATGAACAAAATTTATTCACTTTCATTAGGCCAACTAATTCTATATAATTGTGTAGCAGTCATGCAGCTATACTGTCAAAGAAATAATGTTTCAGGACAAATAGAAATGTTTAATAAAAGTTACTGACAAGAAAACGTAAAGTTAGGCTTCTGTCATATTCATATGGTGGTTTTTGGATGTTAAACCCCATATATCACCGAAAATGATAAGGTAACCTTGCCTGAAAAAGTTGCTTGTTATTTACTACACACCTCAAGGATCAATATGAATTCTCTGCAATTAGAGACAAGTGAAAATCAAGAAAAAAGTGCATCTTAAAACCAAACGAGGGAGCAGATAAACATTATTGCCATTGAGCACTTTTAGTAAATATCCTATCCAAGATTGCAGCAAAATAAGCACCTGCAAACATATGTGCTAGTAATAACAACAGAATGCTCAGCTTGAGGTTTTTGATGCAGGAGAAATAAAGAAATTATGAAAACGACCACATGTTGGATGATGAAGCCAAGAAAATGCTTTATTAGCTGTTTTTAAAATGCTTATCTTATGGTTCATTTCAATAATGTTCCTGACTTAGCTTGTTGTGCACTTGGCTGGAGTGAAGATTCATTTCCACCACTGTCACTTATCCTCCTTTGAGGTCCTTGGCAGCAAGTACACCTACCTGTAACAGAGATAACAAATTACCCGACCTCCTCCTTTATTTTCCTGTACAATTCATTTAAGATTATTTTTATTTATTTATTTAAGACATACTGCAGTCCGAAGACCAAGCAGGTGGGCAGGGATTAATTACATAGAAAGCATCGATCCGCATGGTAAATTGGTACACAATTCTGAAAACAGTCCGACAAGTGTGAAAAAAAATAGCAGTACACAAAGAAATATAGCGGCACAGTGAATGTTTAAAATATTGCAGAAAGTACACGCTTTTCAAAATCCGACACATCACGCGCCGAAAACACATCAACAGGCAATCTATTCCACTGCTCGATTGTGCGGGGAAAGAAGGAGTGCTTAAAAAGATTAGTGCGTGCAAAAATTGGAGTTAGATTGTGCTCATGGGTGCTTCGAGTTGAACGAGATAAGCGGGGCTGAATATAAAGTGCTGGATTAATATTGAATTGTTGGGAATTAAGCAAAAACAGAAATCTTAGACGCGCAACCTGCCTCCTGTGTTCCAGGGTCATTATATTGTTGTTTTCCATGAGAAGCGATGGAACTGAACTGTGACAAGCAGCAGCCTATCTTTCCAGTCCTAAATAAAGGTGGCGGTGAGTAAGCTGTGCATGCATGAACTTCACTGCATGACTTGAGCTGCAATTCAAAGCATAAACTCTCATAAGAAATTGTAATGAGTGTCCACTTTATTCAGACTGCAGATATTTAAGCAAAATTGGTTGAAACACAAAAATATGAATATAGGCGTGCATTTTTACTGTAAAGTATCGCACAGTTAAAATATTGTGAAGAGAACACTCGCAGATAGAGCAGCAGAATTGGTGGCAAGCGTTCTTTGTTTGTACGGGTAGTCACGTTCGATGGGCCTCTTGTGCAGCCCTGGCAATGCTATGAAAAAAGCACATGCTAGTGCCTCCATTCTAACTTCAATCATGAGTGGGCACTGTAAAATACAGAGCAAGCGCCCCCTCCCCTCCAGCAATTATTTTTCAACCCATTCTCCACTATAGAATTCTACAGCAGCAGTTTTTTGGAACCAAAGTTCTGAGAGTCCTTATATATGCGCAAGGTTTTTTTAACACATTTACAGTGTGATGCGGCGGGGCTGCATTCTGAGTTGTCACGAATTGTGTGAACATTTGTAGAACATTTTTCCCGCCTTGTCATAACACCTGAAATTTCACACAAGGATTCTCTTCGGATCTGTAAAACAGTAAATGCGTGTGTATTCAATACAGCATTTCATTCGAAACACAGGTGTGCATTTTTCTACACTGAATTAGTGTCCGAGACCAAGCAAGGGCCCCCTTCCAGATCATCTTTCAGCGTCGAGGGGGTGTCACAAAACGAGCGCTCAAAAAGGGCGCGCCGCCAACTTCTCGCGAGGAAACGTCGGAGTGACGCCGCGAGGTCAACGATAAAAAAAGAAAACAAACATCCAAAGACTCCCCGGGCGCGCGACTCTCTCCCTCGAAAGCGTAGGTTCGCCGACGAAACCTCCTCGCATCGGCGGCCGAGCAAGCACTGGAATTTTCTAGATGGAAAGGGGCGTGGTGATGCTGGGTTGAGTCATCCATCGCGGACGGCCCTCGTACCGTCTCGCGCTTTCCCTCAGCCTTCACTGCGCATCGCGCCGACGAAAGGATGAGAACTTTCTGGAATCTCGCGCGGAAGGTACTTAATCGAGTAGCCGAGATGAGAGAGCAGGAGAAGACAGAAGTTAGCGCCAGAGCGCGTGGGGATTCCGCCGTGTAGTCGGCGAAGGTTTTGTCCGTAGAGACAAAGCAGGAGAAAAAGATGATTTCCACCTGAGGGGTGACGACTGGTGCTACAGGCAAGAGTGTGTGTTTACCGCTATCGAGCGAGGACGCGTGGCAACAGCTGCGTGTGTGAAGCCGACGTGTTTACGGCGAAGAAGTTTGAAGCTTGGAGAGTGGCCAATTGAAGACGCGAGGTTTCCTGGAAGAGAAACTTCGGGGGCAGCGGAACGACAACGCTGGACTTTGAGTGAGTGATTCTCGGAAGAGTATCATGCAGACTTTTGTTCCAAGAACTTTGGACTGAATAGGTTTTCTATCTCTTTAGTCTGTAAGTGTCTTGGTTGTTTAATGCATGCGACTGCATTGTAGTGCCTATTGTTGTTTGTGTCCGTTGTTTCGAGTGTGGCTGATTGTACTGTGTAGTACGTTGTTTGATTGGTGACATATTGTACTCAACTATTGCGGAGTGGGCATACTTGTGTATTGTTGTTGATCTGCCATTATTGAGAATATAATTTTGTTTGTTTATCAACTCTCGGCTCTGACTTGATCTTTGGGCCACAGCCGGCGTCCGCTGGCGCGCCAAAAAGGACCACTTCTAAATTGTCCACGCTTTCGTGGTGCGGTTCGGGGGGCCGGTACTTCGGCCCTTGGATCTAGCCGGGCGATCACCTCCCGAATTAACGGGACCTGTGACAGGGGGTGATTTCTCGGGATTTTACAGTAGTATGAAGTTGGAGGCAGTGCTTGGGACAGTGTGCATCTCTCACTTTCAAGTACTAAGAACCTAGACAGCTTGTACCCCTACGCAAAGAGATGAAACACAGCATACCAAATACGCTTGCACTGTTTCAAGTTTTAGTTCACCAAGGTGAAACTCGCATGTCTATCAAACAAGTTGTGTAAATGAGGGCAATCTTCAGCCATGTGTAGCCTTTGAGCTTATGAGGGCGCACTTGCCACGTCACCAGTCACAGTCGTCACAGTCAGCATGGTTATACACTGTCGTCCTTTATGAAAGGGAAAACATGAGCACGTGGCCTGCGCTCAGCGGCGACTGGCTACAGTACTATCAACCTACAGCTGAAGAAAGCGTGCCCGCTTCTGTTGTTATCAGCGCCTATCCAACGGCCATAATTCATTCTTTTGTTTGCCAATAGATGCCTCCAAAAGGCGATGTGCTTTGTTTAGCGGCTGTTTTAGTTGTTCCAATTCAGTTAGTAAATATTGGTAAGAGACTACCGCCACAAAAACTGGATATGTCATTTCTTTTGTTGCAATGAGTGACTAATGACCCAGTTATCTTGACTACCAACCTTTTTTAACGGAGCGCACAACAGTTAAATTCTTTAAAGACATTTTCATAGTGCTGTGCTCGGGCATATGAATGTTGCTTCACGAGATACCACAGTGCTGCAGACTTGTGAGACTGCATTTTTTTTTGTTTGAGAAAAGCAGTGCACGAGCTCGTTTAAATGTACATGTAATGTGTGTCTGTTGCAAGAAATTGTCCTCTTTGTCACGCTTCCTATCTTCCATCCTCCTAGGATTATACGCATTGAGATGTGACGACCTAACAATACAACTACACTGACTTTCATTTCTCTTTGGGCCAGGTGAATGAGCTGGTCAGCTACTCTACATGATTCTTATTAGTTTTTTTCTTTGGGTGTTGAAAGGACACTAAAGAGCGAAATAATTTTTCGCATACTATTGAAGTATGATTTCACATCACCACTCTTACCACGACACGACGCTTGGCAAGTGCGAAACCGCGCAAAGAAAATGTCTCACCAAACACCATGACATCATTAATTTTGATGCCATTTACTGGGTTCTACATAGCTTATAATTGATAAAAATGAAGGACATTGTCATCTGTGGGTGTCATAGACCTAGCATATGAAGTTTCAGAAAATATCACCGAGCCAATCGCAAAATTGTGAATAATACATTTAAAAACTTTTGACGTCACGCATGGACATTTCGGCACAACTTTCAATAGTGAAACTTCAACCTTAATTTACTCCACTAATAATGAACTTGGGATAGTGAAACATATGGCATTGGCATTAGAGTACTCAGAGTGCAGTTTGTCGATCTAAACAAGGTCACTGTTTCTTTTCAGTATCCTTGTAATGCTTTTGTGAAATACACACAAGAAGCTTGTGAATCAAGTGCAAAGTTGCACAGCAAACTGGTGTTGGGAGTACGGAGTTTGTACTATGTGATTTCACCCCTGTTGAATTGCTGCAGTGAAGGGAACCAAACTGCTCGAGACTACAGCAGCAAAAGCCTATAAATTCCTCCAGAGTTTGCTTCCACAGTTTCAACCACACGGGTTCAATGGTGGCAAAACATGACATTTATTCCCCTTGTTCTTTACAACTCTATGATAAAAAGAGACTAACACGTGCATTTTTCTTGGTTTAAATGTTGTTTTTTGTTCTTTCAGTGAATAAGTTGTCTTGAGGTAACACTGATATTATTGGAAATGGAATCATTTTGAAGAATAGATTCAATATCTCTGCTACTAGCCTCCTTTCTGACCTGCATTCATGACAATTGCATTTTTTGGCAATTATAAAAAGTATCACCCTAGTAATAAATTTACCATGCACCACCCTTTCAGCAAAATCAACTTCCTAGATATGACGGTATCTATTGAAACATTCTTTAATGTGAGGTATGAAAAAAATACAAATCCTTTGCCCACGTACACCATAAACATATAGCAAGCAATGCCAATCAGAAAAGAAAAATGGACAGGGCAGAGGCAAGTAAAATTATGAGGAGGAAGGATGTGCAGGAGAAGCGGACTCCACCCCCTGTCGAACCGGACAAAAAGAAAAAAAAAAGATCTTCGGTTTACAATGTTGTTCTTGCTGCTAACATGTTTGGCCCAATTTAATCTTCAGTGATGAATTCTTGTGATGTGCATCTTAATGGGGCTGTCTTGGAGTTCTTTCTTTTACAGAGAAATCAAAGAATACTCTCTACATAATGCAAACGAATAGCCAACTATAATACATATACTACGCAAGCCATCATCTATGACACGGCAAAGAAAAAATATTCATTAGACAGTCAAAGCGTTTAAAAAGTGTCTGTAGAGACAACGATCACTATGCTCACCAATTAAGCAAGCCAAAGGAGACATTGGGTGAAATAACCTGCACAACACTCTGAACAAAATCCAAAATGAAGCTTGAAAATGAGGAAATCATCATTAGCTTAACACGTCCCATAGCACAGCCTAACCAGCCGCTAGCCTTTGCAATCAAATATTGAAATGCATTTCCAAACCTAAATAATGCCTTTCGCAAGTATTACCCAACAATAACAAGCAATGAGCCGCTTCGGAAAATGTTCCCCGACAGTTAGTGCATGCAAAAGTAAACCCGCACTTTTTCGGTACACATAATACCTAGTTGTCATCTAAGATTTAAGACCTGCAAACACCTTCAAGATTATGTTAGAATTAAAAGAACTAAAAGTGATTTATGCATAGTATAAAATCTAGTTTTACCTGCACGAGTTCAAACATTATCCGCATGATGAAATATATATATTGTCACAAACAGGACAACATTTTAACTTGGTGCAGTAGAACAACTTCGACAGGGACACAGTGTACAAGAAAACACGAAACTCGCTTTTCTTGTCCTCCGTGTCCCCGTCGAAGTTGCGCTACTACGCCACATGTTAAAATGATATTTCACCAGCTATTCCAGCTCTCAACCCTACTGAACAAACAGGACAACCTGTTAACGTTTCATTAAATAGGCATCAAGCAAGCATGAAAAATGACTGGAAGCAATGGCGCAGCAATTTATAGTGGCAGGACATATCTTCAACAATCTTAAACCTCAAATACAGTAGCCAGCTTTTAGAAAAAGAAAAATTGCCACACCTTCTTCACAAGTTTAACACATTCCATCCAACAAGTATAAATGTTTTAAAGGGGGCACTTGAACCAATTTGGCATGGCACATACACAACAAAAACCTATAAAAGATAAGCCATTATTCAAGGAATTTTTAAGGCTAATTATCTCCATTGTTAGGTGGTGCTTCCTCCAGGCAAAGATAATTCAGCGAAATGTCTTCTCCTTTTCTACTCATCCATGCAAAACACTTGCTCCCTCCTGCCCCTTATTTCTTTCTGTTTCATGGGCTTTTGATTGATTGCCCCTTTTACCCTGGCGCAGCCCATTACGGGGGATTGGCTTTTAACTCACCCAATTCAGCATGCCGACTTCTCGTTTTCATCTCCCCGTTTTCGCATGTGGCCTTCCCTGCTTTGTTTAAGTTAGAGAAGAGGGTATGAAGAATATACAAGATGCACTAAGGTAGGCAAGGGATGTTGGTACAACATATGTGAAATGTTTTGTAGTCATTTGTTGATTGTTTGCACCAGCGTATCCCACATTCCCTTCATCTTGCTAAATCTGCCCTACACAATGCAGATAGGTCGGCAGTTGCACCCTTGAAGAAGTCTGCATGTTGAGATGATGGCTCTAGCGACAATCCGTGTTCACAAATGTTTGATCTCTTTAAGCTTGTCTTCCTCACAACTTCTGTGTTTTTTGGTTTCATAACATGACACTTCTGATCTTTAAAAAATAATAAAATTGGTACTGCCTTGTATGATCCATGGTAATAATAGCTCGCTTTTGTTTGTACTTCAATAGATTTTCAATGCACCCATTGTCTTGATTTCTTAAAAGCAATCATTTGACTGAGTTAGTGAAACAACGATTGCTCTTCTTCGTTTATTTCCTGCCATGTTTTGTTTATTTCCAGCCATCTTGCATCTACAGACTAGTACCTACTATACTACGACTGAAAATATGAAAGAAACAAAAAGAATGATGTTCTTACATTGTAGCACCGAAATTAGGATATTTAGTAATTGCGCCTTTTTATTTTGTTACCAGCATGTCAAGTGCCGGAGGCATGAGTGCTGGCTAACCAATGAAGAGTTCATTCCTGGGCGAAGGTGAAAAACATCCCCCCTACCGCTAATCTGCAATTTTTTCAGTGGTTCATTAATTCAAATAGCATAACAATTCGAAAAGTGGGCCAAATGTGACGTATCACCTTAATTTGTTATGCAGCACTGAGCAGCTGACTCGTCCGTCACTCAGTGTCAGCGCAGCCGATTTTACCTGGTTGAAACGCTCCCGCTGTAGATCGGGCACAGCAGAAGAGCGACACCTGATCCTAAAACCAGCAATGTGTTCAAATTACACACGCAATAAATGTACGTCATGATTACACGTATCGCAACAGGAGAAATACGCAACACGTACGGCGGAAGTACGGTAAACAATGAGAGTCTTATTTTATTGTCAAGATCTGTATTAGCCTTTACAGTACTCTCATCAGGTTGCTGTACAAACCAAGCAACTTGCGCAGCGAGAACGTTTTTGAATTGTGGTACATTAACACAGAGCGGTATTACGATCACTGCCACGAAATTAATGGTGCAAAAGCGCGTTCACTCGGAGATTAGTTATAGGTTGACAGCTTACCCGTCCTTGACACGAGGTGCTCTATGAACCTGTGAACATTTGTGTTCATCACTGTCGTCACTGAAGAGTAGATTTATCGCGAGAAAGAGTGTTTGGCGCAATTAAACACGTAGCTTGAACTTCGCACTGGTTCAACGACAAAACCGGAAGGCGCCATGACACTTTTTCTCACAGGAAACAGACGCTGTGCCAACGAGCCAACGTAAGCCTAAGTTGTTGCAAGCGAAATTCAATGCAGCTACCACCTCATACACAGCAGCGATGACCGGTGATTTGTGCTTACGTTTTCGTTTTTAATTTGTCATTTTAAATGTTTGACGAAAACAATCTCCTCGCATGCTTGAATACCGCAGTCATCATCATCAGTAAACCCGCGAAAATTGAATGCGTAACTTTAAGGCACCCAAAATTGCCACTTTTATTGTGATCATTAACATTATTATTATAACTTGCAGAGAAATTGCAAGGCTCCTCTGAAAATGGAGTAGAGCCACAGTCACACGCATTCTCAGCACTGCCCTAGAACACTCGTATGCGAGGCCTTTGAACAAGAAGAAAATTATGACTTAGAGGAAATGAACAAAACCATAACTACATTGATTCCCAAAACTCAATTGCAGTTAGGTTAAAGCACTAGGGCAAGAAGTAAGCAAACTCTCACAAATCACAAAAAAACAACAATCTACAAAAGCTACCCACTCTAGATCTAAAGTTGAATTAACTCAGCTAAAATGGCTGATTAACAAAGATAAAATTGCCGACATGGGGATTTATAGCACCAAAGAATTAGATGAAGAATTCAAAGAAAGGAGAGAGCATGACAACAGAAAACTAATTACGAATGCACACTCCAACAGATAGAATAACATAATCAGCAGTCTCAACATCTATAGTAAGGTGGCAGAAAACATTTACTACAGCTCATGAATAAGCCACCTAACAAAGAAAGAAGCCAACGTTCAACAAAACACTTAAACTCCATGAGGGAATATAAACAAAGTTAAAAGAAACATAAAATCCGAAGCCTAACCAGGAACAAATCTGCTTGGATACCCTACCCTGAGAGGAATAGAACCCTACAAAACGTGACCAACGAAAAATCGTGCAGCGAAATTGTTGACCCAATCAGAGATGGAGATCTCGTCTTTAAAAGCTTGTGACACTTTCTGTACAATGCCTCACGTACTGGCGAATCAAATGTACAGCCTAACTGTAAAAGGCGTGCGAACAGCATCGTTGGACGGTTGCTTTACAACATGCATTTGTTCATGCAGATAGCGGGATGCCTTCAAGTTTGCGTGGCATCGAACGCTCCAGCCGTTATCGCTTCGTGCGAACCTACTGATTGCGGCCACCGCCATGAAGACTACGCTGGACATGACTTGCCTTGGCAACCCTCCTGGACCATGGCTCCATCGCACAAGTTCAGCTCATCGCCTACGACATCAGCATTTCCTCTGGATATAAACGGACGCCAACGGCCCGCGCCCACAGTGCCGCGCCTTCCAGTGGGCGTGTGAACAGCATCGTTGGACGGTTGCTTTACAACATGCTTTTGTTCATGCAGGTCATTAATAACACTTCGTTATTTGTTAAGAAATCTAGCAGTGCCTGCCTTTTGCTGTTCCCATGCCCACGAGTGCTACTTGTTTTACTTGTGCAATCATTTGATGTTTGTGCTCAGCTGCTTTTGCAGTCAGGAAACGTAGAGTTAAACCCTGGCCCTTCTACTGGTGCTTCTGGCGTTCTTACGCGGTCTAAAGACAATTCTAGCGAGGAGGCAATGCAGAAGAAACTGAATGAAGTGTAAACACTACTACAGAGCTTTAACTCGCGCACAGCTAGGATGGAAACGGAACAGTCACGTTTAATTACGTCTATTGCTGAATTAAAAGAAGCTCAGGAAACTATGAAAAGCAACATAGCCAATATTGATATAAGGCTGTCCGCTGTTGAAACTAGGACGCCTACCACTGACACCGCTCAACAAGACCTGCTGGCCTTACGAGACCTCAGGGATAGCCTAGCTCGTGAAAATGACAAATTGCGACTTGGTCAATCACAGCTGGAGGACAGGCAACGAAGAGACAATTTATTGTTCTTCGGTGTACATGACAGTTTATTAGAAACATGGCAGGCCACAGAAGAAAAGCCGTTAAACATGATTTTTAGCTGCTTTACTCCAGCGCTTACAAAGGACGCGTTAGAACGTGCTCATAGAATTGGTGCATTCTCGGAGGGAAAATGCCATCCGGTAATCGAGAAATTTTGTTCCTTTAAAACGAAGCAGCCGATTCTGTACCAGTCAGTGAAGGTCAGGGATAAAGGTATCACTGTAAGCGAAGATTTTTTTTTAGAAACGCGCCAAGCCAAGAAAAAGCTGCTTCAATTTTCAAAGAATCGGGGCTCGCATCACAAACTGAGGTACAACAAACTGTACATTAACGGTCAGTGCTATAGCTACAGCGCAGCTCGTGATCATGTTTTTATGGAAAATAATTTTCGGGGACAGACATCGCGTCACGATATCGACGATTCTAGTATCTCTGACTTGCCAAGTACTGAGCATACTGATCGCTCTGCTCGTCCGCTGGTCCAGAGTCAGCAGTTAACGCGTGATGTCACTGTTATACCGCACCCTGCGCTGTAGGGTTACGCGAGGGGCAGTGGTTCAGCGCCTACTACCGCAAATTCTGTCTTTTCTTTTTAAAATATTAGAAGTTTATTACCAAAGCGCGATGAACTTGACTCAATAATCGATTCCTGTGATGCTGGTGTTGTTTTGTTGACTGAAACATGGCTTTCTTCTAAGATAACGAGTATGGAATCGTTTGATTACAAAAAGAAATTCAACGTATTCCGCTTAGACAGAGGCCAAAGATGTGGTGGTGGTGTTTTGATAGCTGTTGCAGATAATTTTGTTGCGTTGCCCATTCATTCCCCAAGTAACCTGGAACTAGTCTGGGTTGAGCTTTGCATACGTTTTAAGAAGTTGATCTTGGGCATATGTTACCGCCCCCCATCTTCGTGTCCCACTTTCGTTGGTGAATTGCATGACGCGCTTAACATGATCACTGTACGTTTTCCCAACACTCCTATTCTCTTGGCTGGGGATTATAACTACCCCTTGATTGTGTGGAGCAATGCATCGCCTTATCTTAGCCCTTTCTCGACTGAGTGTAACAAGTTTTTGATGACTTGTTTGGATCAGCCTGGCACAACTTGTCTCTGAACCTACTCGAACTACCTCAGCCACATCCAGCATTTTAGATCTCGTTCTAACTAACGTACCGCATCTTGTCTCTTCACTCGTGTACCTGGTCTCAGTGATCATTCATTACTCCGTTTTGATCTTAAAACTCCTGTCTGTAAACACATCAATCAGACAAAATATATTAGAGACTATAAACGTGCTGACTACAACGCGATGAATCTTGAGCTAGCTCTTTTTCTCGATGATTACTCGCAGGAGTTTTCACTGCATTCTGTGGACATTATTTGAGAATTGTTTAAGGGCATTGTTGAGTGTCTTATTGACACTTTTGTGCCGCTCAAATCTTTGAGGTGTGAGAGGGAATCTTCTGGTTTAATAAATATTTGAAAAGACTGTTCAATAAAAGGAAACGTTTGTTTCGCTCTGCAAAGGTGATGAATTTCAAGGTGCGATGGGAATCCTATTTTTTCGTGGCTTCTGAGTACAAATCTGCATTAAAGAGCGCCAAGGACACGTTCAACAACCAAACTTTGCCTGCTATGCTTATTAACAATCTTAAACAATTTTGGAATGTAATAAACAAGAAATACACCACCACATTTTTACTTACATCTACTGATGGTGTTGCAGTCCCGTCACACGAATGCACTTCGGTCCTCAACAATGTTTTTGCGGCGGCTTTTTCTAATGATGTTTCTAGCAATAATTTTAACTACCCTGTTTTTGAAGTTCCTCCTATGAAGCCAGTTATATTTGACGTATCCGGCAATCGGAAGATTATAGAAAATCTTGAAATTTCTTCTTCTTGTGGCATTGACAACATTAAGTCCAACTTCTTGATTAATACAAAGTTGTATTATTCCACAATTCTTAATAAACTGTTTGAACAATCTCTTGAAACAGGTTGTATTCCCAATGATTGGAAAGTTGGGAGGGTGATTCCTCTGCACAAGTCTGGAAATAAACGTTGCCCTGACAAACTTCGTCCCATTTATCTCACTAGTATACCTTTAAAATCATGAAGCACGTCATATACTCTCATCTCGTCTCTTTCTTAGAATCGAATTCTTTTTCACTATAGCCCAGCATGGATTCCGTAAGTCATTTTCACGCGAAACCCAACTCGCATGTTTCACGCATGAACTTCATTGCATCCTCGATCATGGATCTCAGGTAGACTGTATATATTTGGATTTTTCGAAAGCCTTTGACAAAGTCTCGCATGAACATCTATTTTTTAAACTACGTAACCTTAACATTGACCCTAATGTACTTGCATAATTATATGTTTTCTTTCAAACCGCTCACAATTCGTAACAGCAAACAACTTTGACTCACATCCTTTACCTGTCCGTTCTGGTGTACCTCAGGGGTCCGTTCTCGGGCCCCTTCTGTTTCTAATCTATATAAACGGCTTACCGACCTATATTTCTTTTTCAATTAATCTTTTTTATTTTATTTTATTTATTTAATTAGTACCCACAGCGCCCATACAGGCATTATAGTGGGGGGGGGGTACAGAAAAGAACATGAAAATTGCAGGTTCACATAAGTTCACATAATTGCATTCACATAAGTAAAAAATAGAAAAGAAGTAGATTTCCAAAATACAAAAACATACACAGTTGCACCGAGCACAGATGCGTCAGAAAAGTCATATGTATTAGAGAAAAAACCACAAAAAAAAATTGATGAAAATCTCATGATAATTAAAACAAAGTGCAGCATTCGTCTAGCACAAGGGCAAATTAACACCAAAACAAAACAACATAGCTTACAACCAAGATACCGTACAGATCATGGCGACTGCCAGGCGCACACACGTAGTCTACAGGGCTTAGCGGTCCAAAGATTCAATCATTTTTATTGCAGAAAAGAACGCATCCGTTGAAGAAATTTCTACAATTGTGGGAGGAAGTCGATTCCAATTGTGGGAGGAAGTCGACAA